AGCGCAGCAGCAGAGCCAACGCCCCGAACTGACACTCGTGCCACCCGTTCCCGGGACCCACCGCCGAAAAGACACGAAAAGAGAAAGAGACGGGACAAAACCGATCAGGAACCCGATCTTGACAGCTGCATGCCATTGCCAGAAAACTCGCAGCACCAAAGTGTTCCGAACACCAAAGCAGCCGCTCCCAGCCAGATCGCCACCGCCAATACTACTACATGCTGAGACACACCGCCCGACTACGACCGTTCAGTCTGCCCACCAAGGCATGTTAGCAGCAACTACTAGCATGTTAGACCACCAACAAGATCTCAAAAGGACCTTGCCCGACACAACGCAGATGTCACGTGCATCCAGAAAAAAAGTGCTGTCCCAGTGCAATCAGTCAGTAAACAGACACGGCACCAAGTACAGCCAAAACCCCATGCCGTGAATATCAAAACATCAGACCAATCGCGACAGTGTGCAGGGCCCGAACCCCGTCAATTCGACCGGTACTGTTGCTCGCCACCTCAAAGCCATCATGAAACGACCAAGCACCCACAAGAACGGAAAGATCCGGGTACAAGTCTACACCGGCGCAGGAAACCTCGTAGCGGACCTTCACCTGCACGAAGCCACCACCATACGAAAGCTCAAAGCCAGACTAGCTCCGGACCTGGGAGTCTCCCGATTCCGACAGAAGATCCTCCGAAACACGCGCCTCCTCGACGACGACGACGCGATCCGAAAATCCACCCACCTGCAGGTCGTGCTATTGAACTACATCCCCACCTCCGCGAAAAACATCCGCCAGCTCATTGATGCCAGCTTCGAAGACTCCGAATCCGAAGTGGAAGAACTCCTGTGCAAACCACAGGACGTCAACGCGTCCATGCCCGGAGGGGCCAAAGTCAACACCGCAAACGGCGCAACCACCGCTCTCCAAGCAGCCGCGAGTGCAAACAACACGGACATCCTGAAACTCCTCTTCCAAGCCCATGCGGACGTGAACCGCAACGGCAACGATCGGGCACTCTGGCACGCAGCAGCCCAAAACGCAAAGGAAGCCACGCGCATGTTGCTGCAACACCGAGCAGACCCGGACGCAACAGACCAGCACGGACGCAGCGCCTTACTCGAAGCCGTCGCTGGTGGCTTCCACAGCCTCACACAATTGGTGCTAGAGGCAAGAGCCGACCCGAATCAACGCAACGACCAAGGCCGGACGCCCTTCAACGTCGCTTGCCACAATAACTGGCAAATTCCTTAAAAAAGGGTGGTGCTCGGGAATAGCACCTGACATCCGGGGGAACTTTCCGAAATCGCTTTTTCTGAGACTAGATCGTTCTGGAAAGTTGCGCATTGGTTCGTGAATCATGCCTTTTGCTGCTGCTGCTGGGTTGTTTTTATTTTTCGTTGCTCAGGAGCATCCATGCGGCGCAGTCAATGGTATTGTCCATCCGGTACATTCCTGACTGATCCTCGTGGGCGTTGTTAGGAAGAACTGTGCCAAAAAAGAAAAACATGCAAACACAAAGCATTTCACCAGATATAACTTGGAATCGCTGGTGGTCTGTTTTGCAGAGGGTTCTGTGCTTGAGTTTTCAGGCCTCAAGACTCAAGAATCGTGACATTAATCATTAATCTCGAGACCTAGTCGGTCCTTCGAATTTTGAAGCTCAGATCCAGATCGGCACTTTACTATCGTTGACGGTTTGGGGCTGTTTGTCTGAACAGGGTAAGGGCTCGAAGGGTAAACTCCGGTTTGTCGGACCTGAACATGGCAGTTCCTAGTTTTCAATCAGCAGACGTGTTGGCGGTGTTTCGTATTTATTAGTACAAAACTGTAGATATACACACACATGTACATTTTCGAAGGGTCCAGATTATGCGGCTTGAAAACAGCTGTTCGGAGAACCCTTTCCTGAACATGTCTTATTCCCGAGGGCCGGGGCTCAATTACCGACGACCCTCGGTAATTGAGCTTTTTGCAGTGGTCCAGTCCGGGACAACATTTTCCTAAGCAGCTGGTTTCGACATGTTTCGACCTTCTCAAGAAGACTTCCTTCCCGAAAATCTTCACTTCAAAAAGCTTGATTGCCGAGAGCGTTCGGTAATTATGCCCGGGGGCCTCGGGAATGGGCCCACCACCCCGCAACTGAGCGAGCTTAATTACCGAGGGGGGTCGGTAATTAAGCCCTGGGCCTCGGGAATGGGCCCACCACCCTGCCACAGACCGGAGCTTAATTACCGAGGGGGGTCGGTAATTAAGCCCGGCAACTCGGGAATGGGCCCGGCACCCCGCAACTGACCGGAGCTTAATTACCGAGGGGGTTCGGTAATTAAGCCTTTTGCAGTGAAGATTTCAGGAAAAAGTCTTCCTGAGCAGCTGGTTTCGACCTGCTCAGGAAGACTTTTTCCCGACATCCTCACTGCAAAAAGCTTAATTACCGAGGGGGGTCGGTAATTAAGCCCGGGGCCTCGGGAACGGGCGCACGACCCCGCAACTGACCGGAGCTTAATTACCGAGGGGGGTCGGTAATTAAGCCCGCCGCTGCCACCACTGTCGCAGTCAAATCCCAAACCGGCCGACCGAAAGCTTAATTACCGAGGGCGGTCGGTAATTTTGCGCACCGACGAGCAACGAGACCCGAACCGGATGCGCGAAAGCTTAATTACCGAGGCGGGTCGGTAATTAAGCCCGCCGCTGGCACCACGTCAACATTCAAATCCCAAACCGGCTGACCGAAAGTTTTAATTACCGAGGGAGGGTCAGTAATTAAGCCCGCCGCTGCCACCACCTCACCAATCAAATCCCAAACCGGCCGACCGAAAGCTTAATTACCGATGGGGGGTCGGTAATGGAGCCGCCAGTGCCGCACCTCGGCAATCAAATCCCAAACCGGCCGACCGAAAGCTGGCAATCAAATCCTAAACTGACCGAAAGCTTAACTACCGAGCGGGGTCGGTACTTAGGCCCGCCGCTGCCGTCACCTCGGCAATGAAATCCTATCGTGGTTGGCAGGCAATGCAGCATAACATGAATCAGCTGAAATGGGGAAAATTGTGAGCGCGCGCGCAGGGTGCAATGGGCACTTCAGTGTTTGGATCAAGTTTGTGCCTCCTCACGTGCTCAATGGGTGCTTTCGGTGATGGATCAAATTTGTGCTTCTTCACATGCTCATGATGACGGGACTCATAACAGGCACATCGACTCAAGAAACTGCATGCAGATTTCGGATTTTGGCGAGCCTTGCTGCTGATCGGGCCCATTTCTGTCTGTTCTCGTTTTCACTCTCCTCGGAAACGATTTGGGCTTATTCCCGAGGCCCACGGCTTAATTGCTGCCCGAAGCCCTTGTTTAAGGAATTTCCCAACAATAACGACGAAAAAATGGCAACCACCCTGCTGATGGCGCGCTCGGATGTGCACACCCGACACGAGCCCCGCAACGAGTACGACTACGAGACAACCGCTCTCTGCGCATGCGCCAGCACCAACTGCATTTCCGGCATTAAACTCCTGCTCGGCTCATCGGTCCACGTTGACGGCCAGTTGAATGCCACGGCGCTCTGGTACGCAGCTTGGCACGGGAGAACCGAAGCCGTGGAGTTCCTGCTCGAACAGAGAGCTGACACCGAGAAGCATGCCTTGCACGGGGGAACGCCTCTTTGTGCAGCAGCTTTCCAGGGTCACGACTCGATCCTCCACAAGCTCATTGCGAACCTCTGCGACGTGGAATCAGAAGCAGCTGTGCGACTCCTTCAAGAACCGCTACAACTTGCGATGTGGAGCGACAACCCCGACACCGTCAAACTCTTGCTCGATGCGAAGGCGAACGCGAGTGGCGTGAAGAACAACACATCCGTCGGTAGAATGCACCAGCTACAGCTACAGCTATACCAGTCAACTGTAGAGGTGCGGACACCCACCCTGGACAGACTCCGTCTTTACCAGTATCTGCAAGAACGCCAAACACAAGCGCAGGCTGCAACTGCAAGAAGAAATCTCTCAGGCCAGGAACAGGAAGCATAGGCCGGTCTCTCTTTCTAGCCTCTCCAAGCCCGACTCCGGAGCCTAACGATCCCGTCGCAGCACCTAAAGCATCAAAAAGAAAACACAAACAAATCTGCGGGAGAAACAAGTGCACGAGCCCAAGCATGCCAACCTTCCTCTTGGTTGTACATGGGCTCGAGCTACGTCCACGACTTCCATGCACTCCATTCCTACTTCCGGGTAAAGCACTGGAAGAGTAATAGCAAATCAACCATGCAGATCGATGTCGCTTCATTGCCATGCAAAAAAAGAAGTCAGAGGCCCGACCGGCACGAACGCCAACCCACACAACGAGGACTGTCATAACACGCGCACGTCGAGTCAGCAACACCCCCTCGAGGGATCTTGCGGAGACGACGACGACATTGCCAAGCTGTGCAAAAATTTCGATTGACGCGAGAAGCGACACTGCAGCAGAGCAGCAGAGCCAACACCCCAAGTGACACTCGAGCCATGCAATCCCGAGTCCGGAAAATCAGGAAGACAAGACACGACGGGAGAAAGCAGAGACAGGCCCAAACCGAACAGAACCCGATCCCACAGCTGCGCACAAAACGAACAACAAAACCACAGCAAAGCAGTGAGGAAAACGCGAAAGTAGACGCTCCCAACAAGAAAACCACCGCCATTGCTGCAGGTTGTGAAACACCGCCCCGACCACCACCGTCCAGACTGCCCGCCAACGCCTGTACAGCACGAGAGCAACAAGTGCAGGCCCGCAATCAAAAACGAACCCGAGCGACGCCGATGTCACGCACGTCAACAAAAAAGAGCAAGCCAGCCAAATGCAACCGACCCGCCCCGAGCAGCAAACATGCACAGGACCAAGCGCAGCCAGAAACATCACGACACACATGTCCAACATCACGTCAGCCGCAACAGTATCAATGGCCCGAGCCCCACGAACTCCGGTTCGTACTACTATCAGGTCGCACAACCACCGACCCCGCCAGAGAGCCAAAATGAAACGACCGAGCACCCAGAAGATCGAAACCATCCAAGTACATGTCTACTCCACCGCAGGCAACCTCGTAGCCGACCTCCACCTAGACGAAGCCATAACGGTGCGACAGCTCAAAACCAGACTAGCTCCAGACCTGGGAGTCTGCCGATTCCGACAGAAAATCCTCCAGGACACACGCCTCCTCGAGGACCAGGACAGGATCCGAAAATCCTCCCGCCTGCAGGTCGTGCTATTGAACTACATCCCCACTTCCACGGAAAACATCCGTCAGCTCATTGATGCCAGCTTCGAAGATTCCGAATCCGAAGTGGAAGAACTCCTGTGCAAACCACAGGACGTCAACGCGTCCATGCCCGGCGGAACCAAAGTCAACACCGCAAACGGGGCAATCACCGCTCTCCAAGCAGCCGCAAGTGCAGATAACACGAACATCCTGGAACTCCTCTTCCAAGCCCATGCAGACGTGAACCGCCACGGCAACGATCGGGCACTCTGGCACGCAGCAACGCAAGACGCACAGGAAGCCGCACGCATGTTGCTGCAACACCGAGCAGACCCGGACGCAACAGACCTTCGTGGACGCAGCGCCCTACTCGAAGCAGTTGCTGGCGGCAACCACACCCTCACACAAATGGTGCTAGAGGCAAGAGCCGACCCGAATCAGTGCAACGTCCAAGGCCGGACGCCCTTCAGCGTCGCCTGCCACAATAACGACGAAGAAATTGCAAGCACCCTTCTGCTAGCGCGCTCCGACGTACACGAACCCCGCAACGAGTACGACTACCAGACAACCGCTCTCTGCGCATGCGCCAGCGCCAACTACATTTCCGGCCTTAAACTTTTGCTCAGCTCATCAGTCCACGTAGACAGCCAGTTAGAGGCCACGGCGCTCTGGCACGCAGCTTGGCACGGGAGAACCGAAGCTGTAGAATTCCTGCTGGAACAGAAAGCCGACATCGGGAAACATGCCTTACACGGGGGAACGGCTCTTTGCGCAGCAGCCTTCAAGGGTCACGACTCGATCCTCCACAAGCTCCTTTCAAACCTCTGCGAGCTCCAATCGGAAGCAGCTGTGCGACTCCTTCCAGAACCGCTGCAACTGGCAATGTGGAGCGACAACCCCCACACAGTGAAGCTCTTGCTCGATGCGAGGACAAACGCAAGCGGCGTCAGGAGCAACGCATCTCGCAAGAGAATCCACCAGCTAGATGGGTATCCGTGGGCCTTGGAGATGCTGATGCCCGCCCTGGAAACACTCCGTCTCTACCAATATCTCCACGAACGCCAAGCACAGACGCAGGCTGCAACTGCAAGCAGAGATCTCTCAGAGCAACAACAGGAACCATAAGCCGTTTTTTCGCGCAAGCCTCTCAAACCCCAATGCCGTACCCCGTCGATCTCCTGGCAGCACCTAAAGCATCGACAAAAAGGCACAAACAAAATCTGCCGGAGTAACAGCTGCACAAGCCAAAGCATAACAACCTTCCTGGTGGATAAACTTGGGCTCAAGCTAGGTGCTCGACTACCATCCACGCCATTTCCATTTCCAGGCAGCACTAGACGAGTAACAGCCACTCAATCTTAACTCGCTGAAGCCATGTCGCTTCATTGTCGTGCAAACAAGTCAGCGGTCCAACCAGCAACAGCGCCGACACGAACAACAAGAGCTGCTACTAAACATGAACATCGACATGCCCGCCAACGGCGACGTACTGGAACACAAAACAACCCCGATGCAAGAAACCTCACTCACAGACAGCAAGCAGGCATCAACTCCGACGACCACTGCATAAGCACAACCACGGCACCGAAACCGTCCACAACACCAATCCCCATTCAGCCGAATCAGCCAAAACAAGCACCTAACCGACCGCCACCATCATTCCGTACGAGAGCTCCCGTCCCCTGCACAGAATGGCAAGGCAGAGGCTCCCCTTCAGAACACATACTCTCCTGGGAACCACGCACGCCGTCTCGCGCGACAACTCTTGACGGACAGCGTGCACTCATGACTGATGGCATCCCCAACGACGATTCCAACGAGGTCGCCAAAATATACACCAACAAAAGCACCGAATCTTGAAGCAACGAGCACCGACATGGACAAGCATACATACATGCATACATACACACGTACATGCACACAGGCAAAAATACATACATACATACATACATACATGCATACATACATGCATGCATACATACATACATACGTACATACAGACATACATACATACATACATACATACATACATCATATATACATGCATACATACATACATACATACATACCTACGTACGTACATACATACATACAAAAACGTTTGATTGGCTACGAACGAGCACCGCCGTCACCATGCTGCACAACTCCAACAACAACAGCAACAAACAGATTCCAGATCTACGAACACCTACACTCGACGAATCAAATGCAGATCTCAGAGCCACCCGCACACCACTCAGAGCTACGAGAACCGTCACCTCAGAGCAACAGCGCCGAGTCCCACAACTAAAATTGAAGAAACACCATAACGCCAAGTGTCTTCAGTGACAACAGATCTAGCGACCGTTCGACTCGAATTGGTTTTGTGAAAAACAACAACCAGCCGCAAGCGCCAATAGCAACCTGGTCGATTATTCAAGAACATGCAAACGTAGAGGAACTGCACTGCATGCACAGCGCACACTTCACCAGCGCATTCAAGCCAGCCCAAAAAAACACGCCTGATATGCTCCTTCAACACAACAACAAGCCGCGAGAAAAGCCTGATAAGCAAGGTACACTACGATTTAACAGTCGGCGAAGACAAACCACCAGCCCGGCAACAGACACCGGCACATCCGCCAATCAACAAGTACTAATGGCGCAGCTGCCCGCACACAAAAAGGCCACGCTGACAATACAAATCACACAGCGGCTCTGACGAACACTGCCGAAGCACAGCTCCGCAGAACGAACAGACACGAGATGGCTCCCAAACGCAACTTAAAAAAAACAAACAAAAAAACGACACATTCTCTTTCCATGCACAGGACCAAACATGCATTTGTTATATTTGTACAACACCAAGAAAAATTTCCCAACAGAGAATAATAGACAGAGCGCAGTACACTCCACCGGACTAATCCCGAGCCCGAAACACCCAACCAAGCCCCTCAAGCGCAGCGGACCTGACGTACTCCGCAAGCAACTGCGTAGGCCGTTAACCAATTAGCCACCGCAGCCATGGCACCGACACGTGGAATCTCGCCCCGACAGCATACTCGCAGCTCAGCACAGGAGGTAATCGCGCGTCTCGGCAAAGCGTGGCTGTGCATCCTCCAACACGAAGCCAGATGCCGAAGACTCAGCATGTCTGGTCGCAGCAACGCACTAAGGAGCAGCTCGAGCGAAGATGCTTCCACGTCAAATCCCGGAAGCGACGCCGCGCCGCCGCAAATCCACTCTCACCCCCCCCTCTCCGACAAGAGAAGGAAAACCCTCCCCACAACCAACAGCAGGAAGTGCCAGCAGACTCACACGCCCGCTTCCTCACGTCCGGTGCAAGCGCAGCCGTCCCAAGAAGAAGTGCACACGACCACAACCAACGGACAGACAACCGACGCCGACAGCAAGCCAAAGCATCGCAAACCCACGCCACAATACGACCAACACACCAGACGAGAAAAAGGATACGACACACGAGGACCTGCACCCAACACTACAACACGAGCAGAACCAACAGAAGAAGCAGAAAGACACAGAAGCGAAAGAACGAAGCTCGGAGCAGGACAACGTGGACAACTCCCCGAAAACAACAAGCCGCCACGGCCACGTCAAACCGAGTACAGCCAAGAAGCTCAAGCCAGCCACGGGTGCGGCACACGCGGCCCGGAGCCCGAACAAGCAACTTGCGATAACCACGCAAATGTGTTGTCATCAAGGCAGGCCCCATACCACACAGTGCTTTGTCAGGCCCACTGCCACAACTTAATCGCCAACCTCGCCAAGCGAAACTCAGTGCAGAGGAAAGATCGCAAAAAGGCCACGGGAAACGCGGCCAGAAGCTCAGACAAGCAACTTGCGACAACCACTGAAACAGCTGCTCATCACACAACCCCCCACGTCACGCACCGTTCCACGAGGCCCAGTACCCAAGGCAGCGCCATATGTGCCGCAATGTACGAAAGAAGAAAGATCCTGCAAAGGGCACGGCAAGCGCGGCCCGGAGCCCCACTCAAGCAGCTTGTCATCATACAACCCCCCATGTCACGTATCGATCCACGAGGCCCAGTACCCAAAATGCAAACTTTCGCGGCACCATATGTGCCGCAATGTACGGAAGAAGAAAGATCCCGCAAAGGGTACGGCAAGCGCGGCCCGGAGCCCCACGCAAGCAGCTTGTCATCACACCATCCCCACATGTCACGCATCGATCCACGAGGCCCAGTACCCAAGGCAGCGCCATATGTGCCGCAATGTACGAAAGAAGAAAGATCCTGCCAAGGGTACGGCAAGCGCGGCCCGGAGCCCCACTCAAGCAGCTTGTCATCATACAACCCCCCATGTCACGCATCGATCCACGAGGCCGAGTACCCAAGGCAGCGCCATATGTGCCGCAATGTACGGAAGAAGAAAGATCCCGCCAAGGGTACGGCAAGCGCGGCCCGGAGCCCCACGCAAACACCTTGTCATCACACCATCCCCACATGTCACGCATCGATCCACGAGGCCGAGTACCCAAGGCAGCGCCATATGTGCCGCAATGTACGGAAGAAGAAAGATCCCGCCAAGGGTACGGCAAGCGCGGCCCGGAGCCCCACGCAAACACCTTGTCATCACACCATCCCCACATGTCACGCATCGATCCACGAGGCCCAGTACCCAAGGCAGCGCCATATGTGCCGCAATGTACGGAAGAAGAAAGATCCTGCCAAGGGTACGGCAAGCGCGGCCCGGAGCCCCACTCAAGCAGCTTGTCATCATACAACCCCCCATGTCACGCATCGATCCACGAGGCCCAGTACCCAAAATGCAAACCTTCGCGGCGCCATATGTGCCGCAATGTACGGAAGAAGAAAGATCCTGCCAAGGGTACGGCAAGCGCGGCCCGGAGCCCCACGCAAGCAGCTTGTCATCACACCATCCCCACATGTCACGCATCGATCCACGAGGCCCAGTACCCAAGGCAGCGCCATATGTGCCGCAATGTACGGAAGAAGAAAGATCCTGCGAAGGGTACGGCAAGCGCGGCCCGGAGCCCCACGCAAACAGCTTGTCATCACACAACCCCCCATGTCACGTATCGATCCACGAGGCCCAGTACCCAAGGCAGCGCCATATGTGCCGCAATGTACGGAAGAAGAAAGATCCTGCCAAGGGTACGGCAAGCGCGGCCCGGAGCCCCACTCAAGCAGCTTGTCATCACACCATCCCCACATGTCACGCATCGATCCACGAGGCCCAGTACCCAAGGCAGCGCCATATGTGCCGCAATATGCGGAAGAAGAAAGATCCTGCAAAGGGTATGGCAAGCGCGGCCGGGAGCCCAAGCGAACACGAAGTACAGGCATAAGCTACGAGTGGTCGTATCATGAAATTGCATGCAACAGCAACCACGAAGGTCCGCTTCCACTGGAAAACAACCCGCCAGTCAAACCCAACACACCTGTCATCGAAGAAATGGACGCCAGGGCCATGAAGAATGCAGTAAGACGTCTCCCAGACGGACAGCTCGAAACAGGCATATTGCTAAACGAAGACTTCCAGAACTGCGCACCGTCCAGCCGCCTCACATTCCGCCTGAAAGTCTACAGCAGCTCCAAGGGCATCATCAGCAACTGGCGCCGCTATGGCCTCTCAGAAGTCTGTTCTAAGTGCAACATGCTTACGCCCCTCCGGTACATGCGCAAGTCCAGAGCCGAGTCGAGCCCAAGCAAGCGCACACTCCTTTGCAAGAAGTGTCGCGAAAAAACATCTGCACCAATCCTCCCAGAAGTGCCACGACAATCCACAAGCCTACAACGGCTCAACTACATGGAACAACGACTCATTGCAATGGCACAAGTGTCCCAATTTCTCATAGACATGCCGTCTGGAGGACCCCGCGGACAATGGGGCCGAATGTACATCACACCGCTAAAACAACCACGCCTGTGCAGCGTCCTTGAAAACTGTCGCCTGGACAGGCACGGCAAGGTTTACGTACATTCCCCGAACGGAGAATTCACAACCCACGCCAGGGTCAAGTACCTATACCGAGCACTCGAGAAACTGCACAGGGACCACAGACTGTACCAGACACCCGAGATAACCGCCGCCCTGCAACGCCTCCAGCAGAAGTATCAGTACACGCGCACCAGTCACAA